TGATTATCATTATAAAAGCATACCTCTCCAAAAAATGCTATTCTGCTTTGAGACTGTGGTCTGTGGTACTATCCTTAACTATTCGCATAGGCTCTCAAAGGCTCTGGCAGTTAAAAATAAAATGTAAAAAAGGGGAAAAGGCTGCTTTCTGCCAGGACGAACTGCAGGCTCTAAAATACAGAGACAAAAAGGAGGTGTTCATCATGACTACCATGCACAGTGAACACACTCACAGGGTCGTAGGTCATGGCAGTCAGGAAGCAAGACAGCTGGTAGTCTGAATTAAGCAATACAACAAAAACATGGGGGAGTTGACCTGTCCGATCAACTGCTGCAGCCATATCTAATAATGTGAAAGACCAGGGTGTGGTACAAATAGTGAGTATTTATTTAATGGAAACTTCAACCCATAATGCCTTCATTCTTTTCAGAACGGAAAATGTTGAACTGAATTTTACCTTTCTCACATTTCAGTTTTAGTTGATTTCTTAGCTGCTCATTGAGTGCAACAGTAGGGAACCATCAGAAGGTCCTAACAGTAGAAGCATTTAGACAGGTCATTTCTGCTTTCAAATACCACCAACCTCCCAAAGGAAAAAACCCAGAAAAGATGCAGGGTGTGTTACCACAGAGGTATTAGAACTGAGACCAGTTTTTAGTGCCCTGATTGTCCCTCTCAGCCCAGCCTTTGTATTGGGAAATACTTTAAAGTTCTCCATAGTCAGGGTTAATAAGTTCTCAATTCAATGTATATTTTTGTTATAGTTGTTCTTCTGGTTTACAAATTCTTCTGTTTTAAAAATTCTGACAGCTGACTAACTCTTTTATTTACATTTTTTTTTTAAATTGTATTTACTTAATTGGAGTGGGTGGTAGTTCATGGGAAATTGTGGAGTTTAATGTTACGTTAGTTAGGGATAAAAATAAAAAAAAAAATAAATAGAAAAATAAAATTGTTTCTAACATTATTTAGTTTAAAATGCTTAGGAAGTTTATTGACAAGAATATGCAAATGGGATTTGTTATTTACTATTGTATTAAAATTATCCTTATAATAATGTTAAATCATGTGATCTATGTTTGCACAGAATGGAATAAGTTCATATTTCCTCTATTCAACAGGTTTATTCACTAATCACCAGATTTTGCCTGGATTTTGTCCTGATTTTGTGAATATCACCGTTTTTGGTCCAAGCGAATCTGCAACAATCTCCTGGATGCATTAAGTGTCTAGATTAAAATCAGTGATTTTCACATCAGACCCCTATACAAAGTACAGTATTTTGAATATTCAAAAAGCACAATTTAAAAAAAAAAATTCAGGACACAATTCATCCGGCAGGATGCACATTCACAAACTTTCGTTCACTTGCTTTTCCAAGCTAATGATAATTTCAAGTACAGCACTGGAAGACAGCGGCAAATAGTGAGATAACCCTCTGTACTGCAAGGATCAACTGTGTGGTGGCTGAGCGACACTTACCAGCCAGCACCACATTAAAAAAGTAAATACATTTTAAAAAGCTTGAGGTACACTAGACGTCTTCACATATCTCTATAAAGAAGTTTGTAAACCACGGGTGCCCAAAAGGTACACCACCAGGTGTTATAAAACTACAGCTTCCATAATGCTTTGTCTTTCTAGAAACATTTTAAAGGCATGCAAAGCATCATAAGAGTTGTAATTTTACATCTGGGGATCTACACCCTTTTTTTAAACCCTCTATACCCTCACCAGCCATGTGGTTGTCTGAAATCTGGACATTATTCAAGCTTATTCTGAATCTGAGTTTAAAAATCTGGATATTTTGCGGTGTGAATGGATTCGTAAACAGGTGGATGTTTTTGCCATGTTTAGTACAGGGTCATTCTCACAAGTGAAAAACCTATAAAATAGAACTCATTTTGCTCCACTATTGATGTTAACGAATACTTTTTAATCTAAGTTATTGCAATCAAATCAGACAGGTGAAAATGTTAAATGTTCTATATTTAATAACTTTCATGAGAGTAAATTTGAATTGGTTGTCAAAGTTTCATATAACAATAATTGCACTCACACATTTCCAATTCTATAGCTTAGCTTGCTGTGAACAGCTGCAAATAAATCTCTATGTGCTTGTTGCTTTTAATTAATGTATTTGTGTTACAGACTTTAAAGTTCTCATCTTTCTAACCTACTTGATTTACCAGCAACTTGTTGCTTCATAATATGACATGATGCTTTAATAAATGCAAATAAGCTGTTTGTGTTCAACATGTGCAAAACCAAACTGTATTCTAAGTTGATTCGGTAATCTCTTTCTGATAAACTGCCATTTTAAGAAAACTCAAACATGATAATACACTAAAGTCTGAATGGCCCTGTACTGAATGGGGACTGAAAAATCCAGAAATTGTTCATGGAATTCAACAATCACCAGATTTTTGAGCATGCAGACCATATCAGGACCATATTTTGCACATTCAGGCCCAGATTATTAAAAAAAATTAGTGGGTACCCAGTGAGGGATTTTTAATACATAATGGTGTGGTGAATAGAGCAATGCCCATTCTCCTGACACACCCATGGCATCAGTTAACAAATTAACTGGGAGTGATATGTGTATTTTCCATCACCATGGAATTCATAGGATAAGATCTAGTGTTACCCCGCCACTCATTGCGGGGCTGGTTGAGCTCCTAATAGTAATAATCAGTGGAGTTGACCTAGGGTCTCTCTCACCCCCCACCAATTGGTGGTGGTTGCACCCCCTAATAGTATTATTCAGGGGGAGAATCTAATATTTCCTCTGACCCCAACCTTTGAGATCAGAAGGGGCCCTAATTGTATTAATCAGGGAGAGGACCTAATGTCCCCCAACATAGAGTTTATTTAGGGGGCTTTAATTAATTAAACAAGAGGGGGTGAGCATGCTATTTTCCATTCCCTCAACTAAGGGCATGTCCTCCCCGCATGGCTAGGGGTCCCCAACACCTTAGCCGACCACATAAAATTATTTTTTATTTAATTATTAAAAAAGCCAAATTAAACTCCATTATCTTGCAACACAACTGTTTAAGGTTTTAAAAAAGCATAATCTCAAAAAAATCATACACAAAATGTGATGCACTAAAATTAATCCATGTCACCCATGGTGGACTCACACAGACTGAGCTCTAATAGCAGAGAAAACCATTACATAGGCTTTCAGCTATCCATGTCGTGCAATAGGAGCTAGAGCACTTTGATTGGTTGGCTAATAAACCAACAAATCAGAGTGCTCTTCTGGCAGCCAATTCTTGAGAGAAGTGAGTCTAGGCTGTCAGGGCACTGTTACTGGCTGGAATTTTATTAAAACCTGTGCTTTGTAAACCTTCTGAATCCTATACTTTCTATAGAATTTGGATGTTAAAGCACTGATTTTAATTCAGGGTACATCATGCCAGGAAAATGAGTATGTTTTCCTGGCACTATAGTGGTCCTTTAACCACAAGAGCAAATTTTGAGTTGTTTACGGTTAGCACCAGAACCCCAACATGGCATAATGTATCTTATGGATCTTTTCAATTTTATAGCTTTTCAATATTTGTATTCCCCTACATCTGATATGTGTTCTGTTCTACCTGAAAATGAGAGCCGTAAGACAAGGTTCATTAGGAAATAGGACAGACGCACTTACCTCTTACACTGGTAAGTGCAAGGTATGTAACGAGCTGGTGACACAGATAAATGTGGTCCTGAGGAGCAAATTAAAACATTTGTGTAGCAGCTTCATCCAGGTCAATCTGCCATAAATACAATTGGAATACACAATGTAAAGCTTTTGTTTTCCTAACCAATGAGGTAAACACTATATTGAACCATACACAAATTTTAACCCAGGTTTTTACCTAGCTAATTTACAAATTTAGATATTATTGTAAACTGCAGCACACTTTTCTTATATTTTAGGATGAAGTGTTGCTTATGGTTGAAAGGATGTTTTTTAACACCAGGAAATGAAAAATGTACAAGCATATATAATGTGTTTTGCACATGTGGAATTTCAAACAATTTATGTCAACATCGTATGATGAATCAGCTACCAGGAATGAAGCGTGAATTAGTTTGCAATAAGTGGATTACGCAGAATTGATAAATTATTTTGTTAGTGTGCAAACAACTATGAAATGAAAGATTTTTGTACATGTCCAAGCACAAAACAATGGTGGCTTCCAGTTACAGCAAAATGATTGAGACTTCTTAGAATAATATATATATCTCATTCCAAAGTATCCTCTGCATGACATGATGAGGTAGTTTACTATCTAATTTGTAATTTTACCTTTATAATATATTTTGTATAACCTGCCCACTATACTGCATTTCTATGCATACTACATGTTTTTTAATAAAATTTTTTTAAAGAAATTGCCGAAGTTCAGTCTAGAATTTAAAGCTGTAGAAATATCATATGGCATCACATGGTGTTCAGAGCATATCTTTCCAGAATAATAATAATAATAATTATTAATATTATTATTATTGTGTAGGTTAAAAAGACACTTAAACTTAAATTTTAAGTTACTTAAAGGACCACTTTAGGCACCCAGACAACTTCAGCTCAATGAAGTGGTCTGGGTGCCAGGTCCATCTAGGGTTAACCCTGCCTGCTGTAAACATTACAGTTTCAGAGAAACTGCTATGTTTACATTAGGGTTAATCTAGCCTCTAGTGGCTGTCTCATTGACAGCCGCAAGAGGCGCTTTCGCGCTTCTCACTGTTATTTTCACAGTGAGAAGACACCAGCGTCCATAGGAAAGCATTGAGAATTCTTTCCTATGGACTGACTGAATGCGCGCGCAGCTTTTGAAGCGCATGCGCATTTGGCGGAAGATGGAGGAGAGTCCCAAGCGCCGAGGGAGCCCGGCACTGGAGAAAGGTAAGCCTTTAACCCCTTCCTCCCCACTAGAGCCCGGCGGGAGGGGGGCCATGAGGGTGGGGGGGACCTATTAACACTATATGTAAACCTTCACCTGCCGTCACTATATATATCTGGTTTTACTCCTACTCTGTTTTCCTGGCACTGTAGTGGTCCTTTAACAAATAAAAATTGGAAATCTAGTGGCAGAGTAGGAGTAAAACCATATATATATAGTGACGGCAGGTGAAGGTTTACAATGGTTTGGCAGATGACTCCTCCCTTTGACTCTGATTTCAACCTTTAACTCTATAGCCACCATTGTCTCTCCTGTGGCATCTGTTTGTTTAACCCCATGTACTCAACCACAAATTAGATACTCATACAAATATACAGAACTGGGCACAACACAAAGGTATCTATAAAATATACAGAACTGGGTACAATGTGGAGATAGCCATAGCACAGACAGAGCTGAGAAAAAAAGAGATAGTATATACCTATAAAATATACAGAGCTGTGAAGGATCCCATACAAGTGGCAAAGCAAAATAAAATACAACACACAGAATTGGGCTCAATAAGGAAATACCTATAACTATTCCACGTGGACACACATACAAGATTTCTGTGATGGATTACACAAAACAACAATAAAGAGATATGCACAGTATAATGTCTCCTTATAATGCTCCAGGTTTCGCTCTTACTAATATATTTTTCTAGCCCTTTCATAGCTCCCACTTTCCTGATATCTTCAGTATGCTACTGCTATGACAGCTTCAGCTTTTCAATAAATGTTGCTGCTGTTATGAAACATATCAGCTTCTCCTGTCTCACCTTTCACATAGACTGCATATGGTTTATGCAGCAGGATACTGATAGACTCCTTATTAAATTTGCAACTGTCAATAGGATGAATGAGCAGTGTCAGAATGGAGCAATGAAGTAATTGACATGGTTAACAGAAGCAACAGTCATCATAGGTTGAAACAGACCGATATCAGAATGAGCTCAGTCCCCAGAGTGACAGCCCCAGTCCAGCAATGTGGAGTTTAACAACGTTTCAACTACACATCAACTACAGAGCCACAGTATGAGTGTTACAGGTCTTAGCTACAGAGTGACTGCACACTGTAAATAGGATGGTGGAACATAGGGCACCTAAGCCTACATTATGCAATGTGCAAAAGGAGTTATTAAAACTAGTGACAGGCAACACAGTGCTATCTGTTAGAAATAATTGCAATCCCTCCTCCCCATTGTCCATTGAAGATTTCTCTCTTATTTTACCAATGTCAGTTAATGACACATTCACATCATCATTTTTTGCTTTTATCTAAAAAGTGTTGGCTTTTGTAAGTTCTGCCATTTATTTACAGAATCACATATTTCAGGAAAAAATAGAATTTAGAGTGGCATAAAAACTGGTCAATTGTCTGGTGGAAAAAGTGACAAAGGTATTGATAACTGAAAAAAAAAAAAAAAGATAAAATAAATAAATAAATAATGCACATTCCAAAATGATTGGGGTGAATATAGCAACAGAAGTAACAGATTAAGAAAAATGAAAAATTACACAAATCTCACCAAAAAGTGAACAACCATCTGCTACACTTTAAGAAATAACTTCCTGTGAATTGGAAAAAATTGCCAACTCACAATTTTTAAAGGTTGGTCTAATGATTGACTGAATAATTACTGACCAAAAACAATATTAAAAACAAAAATACTTTTATTTTTATTGTGAAAACAATATTTGTCACTCATAGTGTCTCACAAAGAACAGAAATTAAATGACAGAGCATAAACTATGAGTATTGAAATAATATAGTTTTAAAAAAAAAACATTGATATGTGTTGACAAGTGGCAGAACATTTGCAAATGATTCACAGGCAAGATGGTGTTTTGCTAATTTGAACGATTTAATAAAAATAGCAAGGTAGCAATTTAGTTACAGCTGTGTAATTATTAACTCATTAGCTTTTTAGTTAAATGCATCACTCTTTCAAAATATGAAAAATAATTATTTATAAAATCAATGTCTGGTCACTTGCTGGTAAACAGCATTGTGAGCAGGAAATGTAGTTCTATATTTCCTTTAAATGTTTAGTGGAGGCTTTAATAAAATAAATAAAAAGTGATTCATTTCACTACACCTGCTTTTATTTATTTATTTAATATTTTGTTATGGACATAGTTGTACTCTGTCTTTTTATAAATGTGAGACTATTTTAAATATACCTTTAATTTAATCAATCCCTCTCTCTCTCTCCATTTTCCTGTCTCTATCTATCTATCTATTGATCAAAGTTAAATATTAAATTAAGTTAATGTTCACTATATGTCTTATGGAATATTACTGAAAATTACATTTTGCTTTAGAGATTACAAACAGCTTTTATATATGAGTAAAAAAAGAGAAACACCCTTGTAATATGGCACGTAAGTTTCAAAAGCGGCCATATGTGTTAATGGACCCTTCAGCATTGTGAAGTGTATACCCCTTCTCTAAGAACTGTTCATACCCTAGGCACTACTCAGATATGTCAGTTAAGATTCACATGTTTATTTATGTTTTACAAAAAAAAAAGAGGTATCAACTACTGTGAAATTGTATGCTTTCCTTGAACATTATGTCTTGAATATCGTGTATGCATGTAACATTACTTTTTCCATACCTCAATAAAACACAGATTGACAAAAACAAAATTGACTCATATTCTGGCTTTAAACTTAAATTCTCTTAGAGGATCTCCAAAGCCTGTCAGACTTTATTTCTTCCTTCTGTGGGATTGATGTTACTGAAGGATTGAGGGTAAATTTTATTGGCAACGGATAGCAAACCTGTTGCAGCTCAATGGCGCAAATTTATACGGACGTGCGTGTGACGTCATGACGTCAACGCATGCGCACTTTCTGGGGTCAGGGGTCACCCTCTGACCAATCAGAAATCAGAGAGGGATATTTAAATCCCTAATTCACTCCAGTTCCTTGCCCTGTCATGGTTTCCTGTTCCTGGTTCCCTAGAGTGCGTTTATCTTTGTGAATATTACTTCCTGGTATCCTGATCTTGGCTTTTCCCTGGTTATTCTGAATTCTGGTTCCCCTGACTTGACTTGTTTAAACGGTATCTGAGTATTTCTGGCTTCCTTGACCTCGGCTTTCCCTTTGACCATTCTCTAGCGTATTACTCCTGCCATTCTAAGGTCCGGTTTACGCTCTGCCCTTTTATTTCCTTTCCTTTTTTATGTATATGTTTACATAGTTTCTGCGTGTTGGACCACACTAGCAGCCATGACATTACGACAGGGCCTGTGACACTATGCAAACATATGATTGCCTGTGAGAGTAGGGTGGAGGATATGGACCACAGGTTAGATCAATTTGCTCAAGCATTCCAGACGTTGCTCCAGAGAACTGCCTATCTGGAGACACCTCCGGAACCGCCTGTGGCTCTGCTACCTGTAGTAGCACCTGTGGCACACAAACCACCGTCCATAACCCTTTAACCTCCCCCTCGTTTTGGAGGTGATGCTAAGGAATTTGGAGGTTTTCTAAACCAAATTGAATATCACTTTTAAGCTTCCCCTGGTTCATTCCCTACAGATAGATCGAAAATTGGCTATCTAATGAACCAATTAACGGGTAAGGCTTTAACCTTGGCTAATCCCTTATGGGAGAGTGGAAATCCAGTTGCCCGTGATTAAAATGTATTCCTAACAGCTTTTAAAACTACTTTTGAGCCAAAAGGGAGAGAAAAGAACGCTGCCAGAGCCCTAATGAGAATAAAACAAGGCAACCGCTCTGTAGTTGATTACGCCATAGAGTTCAGGACATTGGCATCTGAGGTTGACTGGACCAATAGCGGTTTGGTGGCTGCTCTTTCCGAAGGTTTAGCAGAAAATATACAAGACGAGACCGCAGCCAGAGATCTTCCAATTAACCTTAATGACTTTATTGCATACATGATAGACATTGATAACAGGCTCAGAGAGAGAGAGAAAAACAAACAGCATACTAGACGTTCTAACTTATGCATAGCCCCTCGTTTCTCTAACCCAGTGGTAATTAGCCATGCTCCACCTCCAGAACCTGAACCCATGCAACTGGGCATTGCTAAACTCACTGAGGCAGAGAGACAAAACAGACGCAATGAGGGGTTGTGTTTGTATTGTGGCAAAAGGGGACATAAAAGGTTTTCACGTCCGGTTCGGACGGAAAACTTGCACACCTAAGTCACGTTCGGGGACCGACCTTTGGTGTGATGTATTTGTCCTCTAAATTGACTAAGAACCATTTCCTTATAAATATTACTTTGTCTTGTAAGAAAACCACTGTACAGTGTGAGGCTATGATTGACTCCGGGGCAGCTGAGAATTTTCTAGACAAGGAATTCTCTGCCAAACATCTCCTACCCTTAAGGCAGAAAGATAGACCCATAGCAGTAGAGGCTATTGATGGGAGACCTCTTACCCAGCCTCTCATCACGCACGAAACCCTGCCAATCACTGTCTCAGTGGGTATCTTAAATTCTGTAGAAATGGCGTTCCAAATTATATCTTCACCAACATGTCCGATAATACTGGGTTTCCCTTGGCTCCAGAAACACAATTCACGATTAGATTGGGTTGCAGGAGAAATTGTGAGTTGGGGTGAGAGATGCAGAGGTATTTCAAAATGGACCCACGCAAATTGGAAGCAGTCTTACAATGGCCATTACCCAAAGGCCTTAAAGCTACACAACGCTTTATAGGTTTTGCAAATTATTACCGCAAGTTCCTTAAAGGTTTTTCCTCTGTAATCTCTCCTATTACCAACCTAACCAAAAAAGGAGCAAATTGCAATTCATGGCCCAAGGAAGCAAAGGAGGCATTTGAGCAATTAAAATCTTTATTTGCCTCAGCACCTGTCCTGACACATCCCGATCCAACCAAACCATTTATTCTAGAAGTAGATGCGTCAGAAACAGGAGTAGGAGCCATTCTGTCTCAAAGAGAAAGTCCTGATACGCCTTTATATCTCTGTGGGTTTTTCTCTGGAAAACTAACATCTGCAAAGAAAAATTGTGACATTGGGAGTAGGGAGTTATTGGCCATTGTACATCTCTGTGGGTTTTTCTCTTGAAAACTAACATCTGCAGAGAAAAATTGTGACATTGGGAGTAGGGAGTTATTGGCCATTGTCCCTTAAGGAATGGAGGTTTCCAGAGAGCCACTTCTGATTTTTACCGATCATAAGAAT